GGACTGAGCAAAAGCCTACAAGCCAAAAGGTCCCTGGTTCGATGCCTGGTCAGAGCACATGCCTGGATTGCGGGCCAGGTCCCCAGTGGGGGGCGTGTGAGAGGCAGCCGGTTGATGTTTCTCTCACTCACACATCCATGTTTCTCTCCCTCTCTCCACCCCCCAAAATAAATAAATAAATAAAATATATTAAAAAAACAGTTTTTAAAACTACAATGAAAAGATATGGGAGGTGATAAACAGGGAAGGGAAATGATTTGTCTTCAAAAGACCCGTCTGGCTACAGTTCGGAGGGAGGACCGCGGGGCTAGGGACGGAGGGCGGGAGACCCCCGTACAGGGACGACGCACAGAACGGGGGAGGGGAGATGTGGGAGCTGGAGAGAGGAGCCCGGAGGACCCACCGCGTCTGCAGCCGGGCTGCTTGGCGGGCTGCTTCCTGAGCGGGGAAGACCCAAGAGGGTGAAGCGTAAACTGGGTTCTGTTTGCACCTTATTTCAAGCTGCCTTTTAGACTTCCGGGCGGAAAGATCACATGCCAGACCTGCCTGGCTGTGAGTCCTGAGGCAGGGACCTGTCCCCCTCCATCACCATTTTTTTTTTAAGATTTTATGTATTTATTTTTAGAGAGAGGGAAAAGGAGGGAGAAAGAGAGAGAGAGAGAGAAACATCCTTGTGTGGCTGCCTTTCACACGCCCCCTACTGGGGGCCCCCGGCCTGCAACCCAAGCATGTGCCCTGACAGGGAATTGAACCAGCGACCCTTTGGTCGGCACCCAATCCACTGAGCCACACCAGCCAGAGTCTCCCTCACCATTTTATCCCTGGCCCTGGAGCAGGGCCAGCCGGCCGACAGAAAGGTGATGAGGTCACTGTGTAGGTGGGCTGATGGAGCACCTGTACCCCACTGGTACACATTTGTTTTTGCCCCCAAATAGAATAATAAGACATACTCTACAAAGGTAATACTGGGCCAAATTCACAGCAATCCTGAAACAGTGCTTCTCAAAGTGTGGTCCCTGGATCAGCCTGGATCAGCCAGCATCAGCGTTACCTGGAAACTGCTAGAAATCCCCATTCCTAGGCCCTCCCCATCCCGATTGGACCAGAAACCCTGGGAGCGGAGGTTAAACCAATAAGCCTTCCCGGGGATCTTGAAGCAGTCTAGTGTCTGAAGCCGCTCTCCTACGGGGCCCACGGCCTTGCTCTCCAGGTCATGCAGGACACGCGCCTGGAGGAAAACTGGGCCCGTCGCCCTGGACAGGACACAGCCCATCCTGGCCCAGCACCTGGTTGAGCAGGTTTCTCCCCGCAAGCATCTTCACTCCCGTCCCTCGGCCCCTGTAGTTCTGGCTACAGCCAGGTGGTGGCGCCAGCGCCTTAGGCTTCGCTCTGGCATCAGGAAATAAGAGACCCCAGAAGAACTGTCCCCCTCCCCAGGACCTTCTTCCCGCTGGGAGCCCGAGCTCCTGAGCCTGCCCACTGGCGAAGGCTCTGCAGGGTGGCCTCCACAGGAAGAAGGGCGCTGAGGGTGGCACACCTGATGGGGGACCAACCGCCTCTTCCCGGAGATTGGGAAGGTGGGCTGGAGGCCACCTTGTTCAGAGAGACTTTAGGGGTGTCTGGCCTGTAGGACTTGGGCATCGAGAGTCCGGGCAGGGGGCTCTGGTCCAGTGGACCCTGGCCGCACTCCCATTAACCCTCTGCCTGCCCTGCCCAACCTCACGTGAGGTCTCAGGTGCCGCTTCCCTTCCCCACTGGTGGGGCAGCCTGGGGGTACCCCAGGGCCCCGACAGGGCCCCAGCATTGGGGGTCCCAAGCAGATTGGCAATGGAACCCACAGCTGGGAGGATGCTTGGGTGGAGCTCTTTCTTACCAGCTGCCGGCTTCACATCGCCCGGGTTGGGGGCTCTCTGGGCCCCTGTCCTGCTTTGGGGCCACGGAAGCCCACGATCCTTGCCAGAGGACGAGCCCATGCCCCACTCCTGGTCCTGGGTGCCGTGCGGCGGGTGGGAGTCTAGGAGCCCCGCCTGGGCTCCCCCCCACTTCAGGCTCCAAGCCCGGTCCCCAAAGGACCCAGGGCTGAGCACAGGCTTGCCCCCCATCTGTTCCTCCGCCTCTCATCTTTCCTATTTGAGGGGAGACAGAGCCCCCCAAATCCCGCTGGAGTCACCCTGCCCACTCCACTGAGACCTAGCCTACCTTGGTCTCTCCTCCAGGAATCCACCCCCACGCCCTCCTCTCCCGAGGTCCCACCCAACACCCACACCCACTCCAGAGGACTCCCCTCTTGGCCAGGACTTCCTCTCCCAGCACCCAAGACGCGGAGCTGCCCTCTGAGGCTCTGCCTCCGTCCTCCTGCGGGAGGCTGGGGCCAGGCCAGCTGTTTTCCACGGGCGGCCAGCTGTTTTGCCCATCAGGAAGCAGCCCTGGCTCCTGCGCTGAAACCGTTGCTGTGGCTGGGCTGCAGCGTGGCAGCCCGGCTGGGCCAGGGCCTGGGAGCTGTTAACTCCTCTGGGCCCAGGCGGCCCCCCCACCGCACCCCCCGCCGCCCATCCCTTCTGCCTCCCCCGAGCCCCACAGGAGTGCCTCCGCACTAGACTTCTAGAGACCCCAGGAAGACCAAGCATGCTACCCCCACCCCCATCAACAATGGCTGCCTCTCCCCACTCCCCACAACGAGCCTTGTCCTCGGGTGACCCCAGGTGAGAGGAAGGTTCAGAGGGATAAACGTTAGCAAGTTTGAAACAATAACAGTAACAGCTGTCCCCGAGTGCCGCTGGGTGCCAGGCACGGCGCTAAGTGCTTGAAGTGTGTGATGTGACTTAATTTTCACAACTACCCTGGGAAGTGGGGAATATTTTCTTTTCTTTTTTTTTTTTTTATTCTCACCCAAGGACATTTTTTCATTGCTTTGAGAGAGAGAGACAGAGGGAGGGAGGGAGACAGAGACAGAGACAGAGAGAGAAGCATCAATGGTCACCTTCTCGTGTGCACCCCAACCAGGGATCGAACCCACAGTGGGGACCCACACTGTCCTGACTGGGAATCGAACCCTCGAACTTTTGGTCTATGGGGTGACGCTCCGACCCACCGAGCCACACTGGCCAGGGCAGCAGCAGGTATTTCCACCTCACAGACGAGGAGGACACTGAGGTGTGGGAATCCGAGTCAGTCGGCCACGCCCACGCAGAGCTGGGGTTTGAAACTGGACTCCCTGCCCCTCTCTGGCCAGCTCCAGAATCACTGTTGGTGCTGCTGTGTAAGTCCCCCCGAGTTCCTCGCCCCAGGCTTTCTTTCCCTGGTCTGGGCCTCAGTTAGCACCATCCGAGAAATGGGAAGCCGAGGGGCGCAGTGGCCTCCGCCACCGGCTCCCGCAGGCCGAGCCGGAGCGGCGCCAGGCTCCGTGTCCCTCACCTTCCAAGTATTTATTAGCAGATGATCCCTCTTGGTGGCGGCAGTCAGCCTGGGCTCGGATCCCAGCCCTGCTGCTTCCTGGCAGCCGGGCTTTGGGCAGAGACTCCACGTCTCGGAGTCTCCGTGTCCAAAGCTGGAAAACAGACACAAGAACGCACCCACTGCGTCCTCACTCTGCTGGGAGGAGGACGAGATAACGCAGGTAGCGTGGTTAGCACGCCACCCAACACCGAGAAAGCGGGAGGCATGTTACCCCTTCCTATTAGGACCATTAACCACAACCTGGAAGGGTGGTGTCGCCCACCACGGGGCGCCCCGGCGCCCGGCACAGAGCTGGCGCGTAGGAGGGCTTGGTAGTTACTTCGTGAGTGAATGAACCCTGACACAGTGGACAGCAGGCTGCCCAGGAGCACAGTCACCAGGGGGAGCCACAGGGATCCCAAGGCACCCCGTTCTTCACTCCTGCACCCCCGCGGCCTTCCTTCCTGAGGCCGGCCCGACCCTGGTCTGGAGGAAGGAGAGGACGGACAAGGGAGCAGGGACCATCCCGGGGCTGAGACAGCCCAGGAGGTGACTAGGCCATGGCTGGGTGGTGTCTCAGGGTCTGGGAACGACCCCGCAGGACGCAGTGACCCGTGCTCTCCCCCTCTGTCCCCTCCCCCGGCCCACCATGGGTCAGCTCCCTGGTCCCAGCCTAGACATCTGGAACCGGGGCAGACAAAGGGCTGCAAGGAGGGACAATAACCTTCTGTCCATTTTCAGATGCCGGGCCGGGCCCGGCCAGGGCTGGGGGCCGGAGCCCCGGCGAGGCGGTGCCAGGCCCCCCGTGGGCAGCGGACAATGTTGGCAGTGATGGAGAGGAGGCATTTCAAAGCGTTTTGTCCCCACTGACCCCCTCCCCGCCGCATCTCGACCCAGCCCCACCCCCCCGCCACCCAGGCCCCTTGCTCCAGGCGGGCGGCTTGGGGACTGGCCACATTCTTGACCTCAGGGGAAAAGTTTAGACTCTTCGCGCCCTGGGCAACAATAACAGTGTCACAGAACTGATTTAGGAGCGGCACTTACCATCACAAAGCGGCAGACAAAGAGCCAGGCCTGAGAGTGCCGGGCCTGCTGCTCCGAGCCCCGCTCACTGCTCTCCCGGGCTCCGCCTGGGGGGGGCCGGGTGCTAGGCCCTGACCTTGGGCATCCCGGGCTCCGCCTGGGGGGGGCCGGGTGCCAGGCCCTGACCTTGGGCATGCTGGAGGAGGCCTGGAGGTGGGGAAGGGGCGAAGGAGGAGAGATCCAAATGGGAATTGGGGGGTGGGGTGGCGAAGGGGCTGAGAGCTGCTTCCTGCTCCACCACCGATTTGCTATGTGACCTACCTAACAAGTCCCCCACTCTGGGGCTCGGTGTCCCTGTCTGTAATGAGGAGGCTGCACTGTAAGGCCAAAGGCCGGAGGCTCAGACCTTGCAGTGTGTCGATGGTGATGGTGATGGTGATGATGGCGATGGGTATTCACTGCTGCATTCTGAGCACATGGGTGCCAGGCTCTGTGACCACCGACCCTGTCCTGGCCTTCGGCCTTTCTAAACGACGATGCGGAGCCCTCACGGCCTCTTCCCCCTCCTCCTCTCCCAAAGGAGGAGAGGAACGAACGACTGATGATCAGCGCAAATGACGGCTGCGGAAGCCGCGCGGGAGCCAGCTCCGCACTCCGGGGAGAACGCCGGGCCTGTCCTCGGGGTTTCGGGCGCTCTGTGCGCTCAGAGAAACTTCCCCGGTGACGGGGTGTACGGAAACGACCCCGGGGAACCATGGGCTTCTCGACCTCTTTTACCTCGTTCGGTCCTCACCAGCCTCACAAAGCAGGCGCATCATCGTTAACCCCAGTTTACAGCCCATGCCCGGCGCCCCGAGAGGTGGGGCCGCTTGTGCAGGCCCACACAGCGGGGAGGCTGCGGGGCTGGGGCGGCGCAGGGCTGGTTCGCCTCTGATTGATTAGGCTGCAGCGGGAAGGAGAGAGAGGCTGGAGGCAGCTGGACCGGGGTGCGCTCTGGGTGGGAGGGCCTCTTCCCCCGGCCAGAAGGCTATGAATAAATAAATGTCTGATTACCCCCAGGGGGGGTTCCACCCTTGGAGCAGGTGCCTTCAGAAACGAGATTGATTCCTGCCCGAGAGCAGAGGCTGGCCCCGGCAGACACCCACATGCTAGGGACTGGACACCATGACCCCTAGCGGGGACCCCTCAGGAATCAGAGGCGGGAGAAGGAACATCTAAGGACTCCTGGGGCTCTGGAGACGGGCCGTGGGTTCGAAAGCCAACTAGGTTTTTCCCGGTAGTGCGTCTACGGAGGACAGGTCACCTCAGCGTCCTCTGCCTCGGTTCCCCAATCTGTACAACTGCGCCCGCCTTACAGGAGTGTGGGGACCATTCGGTGAGGTACAGGGAAGGCCCGGAACAGCTGGGTGTATGTCCTGACTGGGAATCGAACTCTCGAACTTTTGGTCTATGGGATGACGCTCCGACCCACCGAGCCACACCGGCCAGGGCAGCGGCAGGTATTTGCACCTCACAGACAAGGAGGACACTGAGGTGTGGGAATCCGAGTCAGTCGGCCACGCCCACGCAGAGCTGGGGTTTGAAACTGGACTCCTTGCCTCTCTCTGACCGGCCCCCGTGGCGCCAGGATCACTGTGAGCACGGCCTGTTTCTATTTGGCAAGGTCCTCCCCACCAGGCCCCGCGGCCAGGACACCTCGAGGTGGGCGCTGTGGGGACGCCGTGGCAGACAGTCGGCTGTAGACCTTGCTTTCCGGGAAGCGGCTGGGCTTGGACTGCAGCATGAGGGCCCGCGGTTAGACACGGAGAGCACGGAGGGGCCCTGTTCTTTGGGATCCCTAAGGCAAAGGCCAGCCGCGGCTTCCCCGAGACAGTGAAAGGAGCTAGCGGCGCCCCCGGTGCCTGAGCAGGGCGGTCAGCCCCGGGTGTGGTTCCTGGAGAGAGGCCAGAAGGAGAGGGGACCCGAGGAGGCGCTGCCCAGAGTCTGCCCCTGGCCCTTCGGTCCGCAGGGACCGACCTGTGCACGCAGAGCAAGGACAGATGGCCAAGCGTGGCGTCGGTAGCACAAACAGTGCCGCCGCCCTCGGCGTCCTAAGGGGACCTGGTGGGTTTGAGTCCCAGTGCTGCAGCTCACTGTGTTGCCCAGGGTGCGCTGCTAACCCTTTCGCACTCTTTCCAGAAGTCTTCCAGAACCTGAGTGCTCAGAGGGGGCCGCCACGGGCAGCGCTGGGGGTCCACCGGTCCAGTCCAAACGCCGGCCGGGACCAGGGGGTCCTGGTCCCCACACGCCAGCCCTTCCTGCCCCCCCGCTCTGCCTCCGGTTTCCCCAACCATCCCTTTGGCTTCCTCGGCCGAACCACCAGTGTCACGTGCACCCTAGACACAGGGCAAGGCAGCCCAGTGGGAAATGTGGCAGATTCTCAGGGACTCGCAACGGGCGCGGGGGCGCCGGGGGTCCCGGAAAGGACAGCTCACGCTCCCTCCCTGCCTGTCTGTGGGCACAGAGCAGCACTCACCTGGGTAGAGCACCTTGGGGTCCCCCTCGGCCCGGGCAGGCGGACGGCACTGCTGGGCCTGTCTCGGGCACAAGCTGACTTCCCCACCCAGTTCCTGCTGCTGAGAAGGGCTGGTCAGGCAGGCCCGCAGGTGCCAGCCAGCCCTTCCTGGGCACAGACTTTCCTGGCATCTGCTGGGCGAGTAGGCTGGGGGTGGGGCAGGGGGGCAGGAAAGGATTCCTGGGAAAAGGGTGAAGGTGTTTCTTACAGAATTTGTCCCCAGCCCTTAAACCCACCCCCTTTCTGGACACTGTGGGGCAAAGGTCCTCCAGGAAGCCACGGGCCCGGGGGGGCCAGGAGACAGCTGATGGAGGGAGCCCGGGCCCCTGCCCCCGTCCTGTGCCCGCCCCCCCCACCCCCCGCCCCAGCAGCCCAGCGTGGCCCAGGCCGCTGTGTTTGCTTTTCCCGGCTCCACACTGACTCCATTCACAGCGGCCGCTCTCCGCCCCCAGCCAGCGGCCGGCCCGGGAGCCAGGGCACCAGGGGGCGAGATCACCGCTCACCCCGCCCTCCTTCACGACCCCTCCCGCCACTTTCTCTTTGGGGACGGCTAGCTTCATGGGCTTCCTAGTGTTTTTTTTGGGGGGGTGGGGACCACAATAGGAGGAGGACTGGGGCCGCGGGGGCCCACCCTGGAGAAGAGGAGGGAGAGAGAGACGCCAGAGGGAGGGACAGAGGAGCGTGGAGGGAGGAGGGCAGAGCCAGGGGGACAGGGGAGGAGAGAGGACGGTGGCGAGCAGGGCTCCACTGGAGGGTCCGGGCAGAGGTGGGCTGGGGAGATGGGGCGCGGAGCAGGGAGCCCCCTTCCGGGCCAACCCAGGACCTGCCCCCTCACCTGGCTCTGAGCCATCGAAGCAGGCAGGGCCTCAGGTGGACCTTGAGGCCGGGGCTCCTGGCTCCCACCTGAAGGCCAGCCTCCTCCTCACCCCTGGGACAGGGACCGGGACAGGCCGTGACCCGGTCTGGGGCCGGGGAGAGGAGGAGGGTGACAAGTTTCCCCGAGTCAGAAGGCCGTGGGGGGAGGCATCTCAGGGGGTCCTGCTCTTTGCTCCCTCCGACTGTCACGTTGGTACATAAAGGGGGTAGAAAGGTCAGATGCGGCCTTTCAGGCCCGTGGGAAAAACGCTGCCCATTTCCCTAATCCATATTTATTGGTGTGAGACACAGGGGTGGGGGAGCCCCGCCCTCGCCCACGGTCCCAGCCAGGCCAGGTTAGCAGTATGGACGGGCTCCGTGTCACCCAAATCCTACTCTTTGTCTCCAGATTGGCTCCCGAGTCCTCTCCCTCCCCTCCCCCCTTGGCCCCCCCCCACCCCGCTTTGGGGTTGCCAAGCAACTGTGGAAGGGTAGCTGAAATATTTTCTTTATTACAAGCGAAAGCAAGACAGCATCATGGCCCCTGGAGGGAAGCGGGGTGGGGGCTGGGGGAGAGGGCATCTTGTGCCCTGGGGGGACCTGGACACCTCAGCGCGCCCCGGCCCGGGCTGCGGGGAGGCAGGGCCTCAGGGCCCAGGAGAAGGTGGAGGTGGAGGTGGGGGGACTGGGTGGGCACACAGACACCGGCCCGGTCCCCCCATAACACTAAAAGGAGAAGCAGCGCCTGGAGACCCAGGCCCGGCCCCTCATCCGTCACCCCACAGTGGGCATTCCAGGCCCAGCCACTCCCCTCCTCTGGGCCCAAGCTTCCTCCTTCCTGCAACGGGGATAAGGGCACGTATTATCTCATTTAATGCTCACACGAACCCCACGAGACATTTATTCTTCCCAGTTTACTGGGTGGAAAGCTGAGGCTCAGGGACGCGAAGGGATGGGCCTAGCAGGTAAGTGGCAGAGGCGAGGTTCCTGAGCCCCAGCTGCCTTGAATGACAGGCTTATCGGGATGTGACTCACATACCACACAGTCTGCCCAGTTCACACGGACAGTTGAATGGCTTTCAGTGTGTTCACACCGTTGTACGACCATCGCCACAATCCATTTTTGAACACTCCCATCACCACACCCCAAAGAAACGAACTCCTCATCAGCCTTCCCTCGTTTTCCCCAGCTTCCCTCCCTCCAGCCCGAGCCGGCCACTAATCTGCTTTCTGTCTCTACAGATTTTCCTATTCTGGAATTTTATTTTATTTTTTCTTTTTTAAGAGAGAGGGGAAGAGAAGGGAAGGGAAGAGAAGGGGAGGAGAGGGAGAGATGTGTTAGAGACACATCTATCTGTTGCCTCTCAACACCCCCGACTGGGGACCTGGCCCGCCACCCAGGCATGTGCCCTGACTGGGAATCGAACCAGTGACTGTTTGGGTCACAGGCCAGCACTCAGTCCACTGAGCCGCATCAGCCAGGGCTCTACTGTGGATATTTTTATAAATGGAATTAGACAGTGTGTCTGAGTCCCAACTCTTCCAATGGCTTCAACCTCCCCGGGGTGACAGAGTGAGGTGTCAGTCGGTGGCACGGTTAGGGACGTGGGTTTTGCTGTCTAAAACCTGGCTCTGTCTCTCGGTAGCTCTGTAGCTGGAGGAAGCGGCTTCCTCTGAGCCTCAGGTCCCTGGTGTGCAAAATCAGAAGGGTCATGGCGTCTCACAAAGCAGCGGTGACCTACCAAAGTGTCAGCCCGGGGCCCAGTGCTGAACATACGGCATTGGCAGCTGGGTGTCAGTGATCCGTGCACCCGCCTGTCTTTTCATCCGTTCACCCAGGCACTGAATAAAAGCACTGCTTTTATTCAGCACCTGGCTGCATCAGCACCGCTCTGGCTGGTGTGGCTCAGTGGATTGAACGTGAGCCTGCGAACCAAAGGGTCACAGGTTCAATTCCCAGTCAGGACACATGTCTGGGTTGCAGGTCAGATCCCCAGAAGGGGGCGTGAGAGAGGCAACCACGCAGTGATGTGTCTTTCCCTCTTTGTCTCCCTCCCTTCCCCTGTCTCTAAAAAGAAGTCAATAAAGTTAAAGTAAAAAGAAGTCAGCACCTTCTAAGGGTCAGGCATTGTTTTAGGTGCTGTGGACACAGGACTGAACAGGACGGGGGGGGGCGGGGGGTGTCTCTGCCCACATGGGGCTGACGTCCTGGAGGAGAGGCGAGTAAGGCAGCCGAGCAGCCAGAGGCTTCCAGCAAGGGCTGCGTCCAGCGAAGACAGCCCGGCATCGCGGGGTGAAGCCGCCCAGGTGGGTGGAGGCGGCTGCTTCAGCTCGGAAGGCCGCCCTGACCCGC